ATCAGACACAAGGTTTCGGCCCTCTATGCTTTGGTGGTATTCGTCTAATTTGCAGATATCATCCACTAAAGGTTTCCAGCATGTGCCACCCGCAGAGTTGTCTGGCAAACTCATCGTATAAAAAGGGTATGCGAGACAATCAATTAAATTGCAATGACATTTGGCAATAAGTGCCTATGGGTGAACAGTTTAGAGCTTACAGACAACAATGTGTATAACGAAAACAGGGCTCACCTTTACCGTGTTGTAACGAAAATTTGCGGCGCGGAGCATTCAATGCCGGTAACCAAGCTACAAGAATTTATTGAATGATAAGCAAACAACCATCGGATAAGGTGAGGAATTTTGGAGGGGAGGACGCAGGACCATCAGAACTCTCAGTGGGCTCTTTTTCGACGTCTTTGTCTGCACTACCAAAGAAGTCGAATCTGAAATCCTTGAGTTGTCAGGGTATCGGTGCTCATTTTGTTTACCATTTAGTTCACAGTCATCTATGAAATAAAAAAATGAGTCGTAAATATCGAAGGATAAGCAAAGACTAAGAAACTCGAAATAAACTGTCAGACATATGCAGAAAACCATGACGCGAAAGTGGTTTTGGGAAACCAAGTCTACATGTTACGGTTAACAGAACGTTGGAGATGCCCGTGGGACTAAAAGTGTGAATTGCTTATGTCATAGCACTCGCGTAAGGAATTAGTCCCAATGCACCGTATTCACCTAATGTTCTAGGCGACCGTAATTAGCATGGGTGGCAGCAATCGAACATTAAGATGCCTCCGATGGCGGGGACATACGATGTGACAGCTCACTTATTTCTAAAACTCCCTACAACGAAGGCCAGGTAGCTCATCATTCTGCAAAAGCTTGATTATTTGTAAATTCATCTTGGCTTCCTCGCCCCTTAGATTACGAAAGACGTTTGATTGGGGATAGAGCCGCTCAGTCGAATGACAATATCTGTATACTTAACAAAAGTGTTGACTGTCTCTGTGTGCATCTCCGTTATCATTGGTGGATGGCAG